AGAACAAACATGTCCTCGTTATAGGCGACATGAAATGACGTTCTTAACACCTTCTTGTTTTGAATTGCGCTTGAAGGTATGTGAATATTTCCTTTTATATATAATTGCGATGATTTCAATGAATTGAAAATACATGGTAAGAAATCGACCTAGAAAGTACAGTATAATTCTTTTTGTGAAGAAAGCCAACTGAATCTGATCCTTATAGATGATAAGGAAGCTAGCTTTCACAGATTCCTGCTATTCGTACAAGTGCATCTTCACAGAAGTGCTCGAGTAAGGGTCTAGACGTTCTGACTCGGACACCAATTATAATAACACTCCTAGAGTGAACTATATCATGTTGTGCCTCTTACATGCTAAGTGAAAACACCTTGGTTCCATAAAGTGCTACTATCCATAATTTATTCCATTTTTTCCATTTTTCTAAGGTTTTCTTTATACCTGAACAAACAGCGTCAAATGAGCAAGAAATTAGATATCAAAGTGCTAAATGTCCTCACGAAATACACGATGTGATARWGAGCTCTGACTCTCCTCCGTACTTCTACATCTGCGATTCGACTCCTAAAAGAGATTTGTTTGACATCTTTGAACCTTCAGCACAAGTGGACATTCGTCTGATAGCCGAAGCAAGTAAGTCAATGTTTTTAACTATTAGGAAAACCTTTGCTCTAAGAAAATCATAACTAGAGCCCAGTTATTTCTTTTCTTTTCATATAGCTTTTAAATCGCCCTCGAGTCTAGAAGATGAACAACGTCAAGAGGCTTTGATGTTATATAATTACGTCAAAAAGAACTTGAAAATTACCGAACAGGGAGAAATGAACTTGTCACAAGAAAAGATTCCCAAAGACTTCGATGTCCGATACTCCCGAGTATCTGAACGTAGCTCCTATAGGGTCAGATCTCCTGATGGAAAGCAATTCACAGCTCGGCTGTCTAATGAAAGTCATGGCGATGTTCAAGGATTTGATGACTTGGTATATTATGATAGGGCATTCGTTCAGTTTTTCTTAAAATCCCAATTATTATCTAGAAAAAAAGATATTGATTTCATGACTCCTAGCCTTTGTTGCATTCAGACCTTTCCTCTTTAGTGTACTTAACAAAGAAACTTATTCGAAAACTCTGCAGATAGGCTTTTTTTGTCCATATTCCAACGTCAACTCAGATTCGTGATTTCATGTGTGAATAATCAGAATAAATATATATTTAATATACTATACATATTTTGATTATATCTCACACTTAGGACATCCATCTCCTTATTAATAATTGTTCTTCTATGACTTCAAAACAAGTAATTGAACAAGTACCACATCTGCTGAATTGCGCACGACGATTGGCAAGGTTAGAAACATTCCAATTTAAAATTGTTGCGCTGAATAGAATGCAATGGAATCCAAAGCTTGCCATTTTCGATTAAATCCGGGAACTAAATTGACGTATTCCCTTTCATTTCTGGTATACATTGTTATCAAGTAAGACCCTCGGACTGACAACTGTTTATCAAAAAAAAATTAAAAGAGAATTCTTTAGCTTTGAAAGAGAGTACCAAGATGATCTGAGCACACTGCGGTTTTCTTTTAGTCAGCTAATATTTATAAAAACAAATAAGTCAAATAACATACAATATCAAAGATTAATAACAGTAATATTTTCTTGATTTTCTAATTTCAGGGTGTTTGAAAATGAATCAGATCAAAGTATGTACAGTTGTCTATTTATTATTTATTGTTGTTTGCATTGACGAAACCAGTGAATGAGTATTTTTTATATGTTCCAATCAACAGACATAGTGCCGTCGGAGATCCTTGCGCATGGCCAAAGAGCACAAAGTGCCTATCAGACAGCATTGAAAAGTGGGAAAGTCAAAAATTGTCGCGTGCCCATAGTTTTGGTTGGCCAATCCCGATCTGGAAAGACGAAGAAGAAGAAGATGCTGACTGGCACAAAACCAACACTGACGAACACGTAGTTTACAATCAATGTGCTGCAAGAGCAATGATGCCACACTTGCTGATGGTATATTCCATGGATTCGAATGACGACGATGATAACGATGAACCCGAATTCAATAAAGACATCTTCATACCAGCAGACAACATCGTAAACAACAGCTTAGAAACATCTTCAGAAGAAGACAAGCCCCTCACCTTTGAAGAAAACCTCAAAATGGATAGCGACGAAGAAACAACACAAGATTTCGAAAAAAGTATCACTGGTGAGGTCCAACAGCTTCCAGAGCAAGTTGCAATATGCGCCAAGAATATTCTAGAAAACTCTGAATCTGCAAAGCAAATGGAAAATGATCTATTTTTACACACCATGGACTTTGCCGGACAACCAGTCTACAGTGTCACGCACCCCGTGTTCCTTCCCCCCAAGGGGATCTTTCTTCTTGTCCATAACTTGGAAAACGACCTGCACGCTCAAGCGACTCCTATGGTAAAATGTGGAGCAGCAGAAAGAATAATCGACGATCATTGTCCAATGACCAATATGGATCATTTGGAATCCTGGTTGTCATTGATTGCAGCTAATTCAACTCTCGAAGGTGGTTCTCCAGTCTTTGTGGTCTCTACTCATGCTGATAAACCGTTTAAGCCTGATGTCAAACAGACTGCAAGACAAATGCTCCAGAATCTCAAGAGGGAGGACTTTGCACCAAGAAGTCATGTTGTTAACGGCTTATACACTGTAGATAACACWGTCTCAGGAAGYGGAGGTCCCGATGACCSTGGCGTACAAAGWTTAAAAGWTGCTYTATCTAAYGAAGCGAGGAACCTTCCACAACTTAATGAGGATATTCCTATTCGRTGGYTGTCTTTTGAGAAGAGACTTTTGAGTCTTGTATCCGAAAAGARGGAGAAATACATCTCGCATGAAGACGCCAAAACCATTGCCTTAGAATGTGGAGTAGACGTCGATTCGGATGAGTTCAACACTCTCTTGGACTATTTGCACGACTTGAAAGTGATCATCTACTTCCCCGAAACCAATATGATAATCATCGACACACAATGGCTACTTGACATGTTTGCCAAAGTGATAACTGTTCAACCCATCGAATGTCATCATAAGGAGTATGAAAGTGAATGGAGGAAACTAGAAGAGCATGGTATRATCAGCGTCAACTTTCTCAAACATTTATGGTGTGACCTCCTCGATGACCATTCATCATTCCAGTCGTTAATTGACATCATGGAAAAATTCTCACTCATATGCAATTGGAAGCAATTAGATGGAGGCACGAGTTATCTTGTTCCAGCTATGTTGATGAACACAAGTGAAGAAAAAGCCAATGCATTAATAGGAGATAACATGGCTCCGCCATTAGTCATAAGATTTGATTGCTCACATTTGCCTTTCGCCATTTTCCCACGACTCTTAGTTCTCGTCGAAAAGATGTGCAACTCAGAATGGCCGTGTTCCTCTCCGCCTCATCTCTCCAAAAACTTTGCAAGGTATGTTTACTGAAGTTTTAGTAATCGATACAAGCAATTTCGATGTCGCACATGGTACGGACTTGTAGCTCGACCTTCAAAAAGTTTAGGTTTTGGCTTTGAACCTTTTCTGTTATTCTTAAATACAGCAAAGTCAGGTTTCTTTGAGAACTGTCTTTATCATAAACTTTTGTATCTGCTTTTTTAGATTTTATATTGTTGATGACAAGTGTGCGTTCAGCCTGGTCTTCACATCCGATTTGCAAACAATCAGAGTTGCACTGTTCAACGACAAAACAAAAGGCAATAATAGAAATGGCTTTTTCGTCAACCTGTGCAAATGGCTAACGGAGTTTCTCGAGGGAACACTACAGAAAATGATTGAGTCATTTCCCTTGGATGAGAAGGTTGGAGCTTGAATTTGGCATCTGTTGTCCAGTTTGTAAAGACGTAGCACCTTGTAAAAAGCACAGCAAGAGAGCCTGTCCACGAGACTCGTGTTTTCACTTTATTTCCAAACAAGAACTGTTGAGCACAACTCAAACGCGTTGCGGCAGGAGCCCTACAAAACTAAACAACGAAATTCCAGATTCCAGCTTCTCGCACTGGTTTGACAGAAAAGACGACAATAATGTAAGTTTTTTTAAAAAAATTAGAAACTGGAGCTTCCTGAAAGAAGTGGAATATTATAGCTGATTATGTGTTTTTCATCATGGTTTTTGAATTCTTGTAGACTGTTGAGCAGCTTCAAGCCCTTTGTTTACCTTCGGAAGGTAAGCCTCAATTGAGAGCTTAACCTTTGAAAAGCCCTTGTGAATATAATTTCCAAATGTTCCTTTTTCAAAATTGAGCAAAATATTTATTAAAATAATTTCAGCCATTAGCATAAGCGTTATTTGTTTTTCATTTAAAAATTGATATTGTACATTTATTGATACAGATGACGCTGTGTGCAAGGAAGTCATTGCTGCTTTCAATGAAATCTCCCTGAAGACTATTTCACAGGACGAGGTGRCTAGAACAGCTAAGAGAATCGCTGGTACATCATAATAAGTATCAAGTACCATCATTATCATAACATTGATCAATGATATCACAATAAGCATCTGTGATACATAGCGCCATTGGTCGGGAGACGAATTCTCATGAATCATGGACACTCTGTTTGCAACGAAGGTGTGGAATCTTCTGGCTTGGTTGCGAATGTATTGAAGAACAATCATGGAATCCGTCCAATAGAATTCTTCGCTTATTGGTAGATCAATTTCTCGCTGAATCATCTTACACAATTTGACAGCAACTGTCGCGGCTGTGAGCTCTAGCCTAGGAATGGTTATGGTCTTTAGTGGCGTAACTCGTGCCTTTCCTA